CACCCTAGAGTTTGCATCGTCTGATATGCAGGCGACTGCTTTGTGTCTCGCAGTTGCAAATATCGCGTAGAAGAGTTTTTTGCGTCTGTGGTATGTCTTGTTGCAATCGAGCTTTGTTAAAGACCACGCTTCGTTTTCTGTGACCGTTGGTTGGCCTCTACTTGCTTACGGAACTGATACTTGCAATCCATTTGAACGACAGTATGATTACAGTTACTGTTTGTGAAATGATACGATAGATTCTCTGCACTGAGGACCCGTACTGGCCATCCTAAGGGACAATACCTGGCAATATCTGTTTTGTTCCTAGCTTTGGTCTGCGTTGAAAACCGTTGAATTTGAAACATCCTTTTTTACTGAATGTACTTCATTCCCGTATATTCTTTTTCTTAAAGCGTTAATGATCTGTTTCGAAATATTTCCCTTGGCTATAGCTGAATAGCTTAAAGGTGTATTTTGTTTAGAAAAAGCTGTCCGAATATGCCCTGGCACAAAGCTTGCTTCTGGACGGCAAGAACTTGGAGGGCACGATGAGCGACGGCTTGTTGAGGTATGATGGGTTTTTACATTTGAGTTTTCTAACTGACCATAAGCCGACTTTAGTCAGGTGGTCAGTTTGTTTGGAAACGCATTGAGCGAGATCGTCGAAGAGACGGTTCGAGCAGAAACGGACATCGAGCGTCAAGTGATCAGCCAGCTGAACTCTTACACCGAAGTAAGTGTATATGACTGGTAGTTCGTTTCATGGTTTCATTTTTCGTCTCATAGCTACAAAGGCAGAAGAACCGTGATAAAGAGAAACTAAAAGAACTGGTGTTAGACAGGGACTCTGCGCAGGCCAGGTACTTGTTTTCTTTTTCTTCCATGCTCTGAGTTCTTTTACGAGAGTTATTCGGTGGGAGGCGACGGAAGCAAAAGTTACTCTGGGCATATCAACTGTAACATCGAAAGTGAAAAGGAAGCCAAACGAGGGTCAGCTAAATGCCTACCTATAGTACTGGTTTAAATTGAAGTTTAAATCTAATAAATTTTGACTAATCAGATGATGTATAAGCTGGTCAGAAGCCAATAATTGTGCCGTCGTATATCACACGTTGTTTAATTGCTCATCCGTTATAGATTGGCTGGCGCTCAAGTTCGCGGTGAGCGGACCGATTCCATAGAAGATGAACTGGACACTGTCAAATCCAAGGTCGGAAGTTCAAAGGTTGGTGATATAATTTAACTTTGCCACGTGTTACTCGGTACCACGCTTTACAGCGATGGCTGAAACCGAAATTGAATTAGGAATTCTTATTAATTGTTCATCTTGGATTGTTTCCGAATTAGACAGTGAAATGTCTCATCATATTTGTCACATGACACGGCTTGTGGATGGTATATGTGTGAGGAGGCATTTTGACTTTCTTGAAGACAAGCTAAAGGTGTAAGTTAGTGCTTAACTTCTTCAGTTATAAATAGAATGTCATGGCGCATCGCATTGACGTCCTTTTGATCCTACATGCCTGGGAGAGAAAGCGTTTAACCAGGCCATGGATCTCTAGTGTTTGAATAAATTTTGTGCTAGGATGCTTTTTCCATCATTTTACTAAGTAAAGCAATTTTTTGCCAATCAAGAGCGTCCTGTCTATAACTGGGCACTCATTATATTTTAAGCCAATCAGAGGAAGATGAAGAGTATGAGGGCGCGCGCTGCTACCATCAGTTTGAGGATACTATGGAATGATATTACGATGAACGAGGTGGACAATTTCAGTATCTCGAAATTGGTGATGGTAAGCCTGATTGAAGTTCTCTACGAGGGAGGAAATGTCCCAGATGTCCCTGATGAACTGAAGTATGATTGTCAAATTGATTCAGTGTCACCAATGAAGTTGATCAAGGCGAATTGGCTCTCTCCCTTGCTCTTTGACGTCATGGCTAACTATGTTATGCAGAAGAGCGGCGTTCCAAATTACAACGAGGGACTGTCCGTAAGTAAGCGACTTGATTCGATATATCTGACTGCGATTCCACATATGGTCTAGTAACATTGGCTGAAAACATGAGCAGCACTGCTGCGTGAATAAGGCTACAAATGAACGGAATAATTCGAAGTTGATGAGAGCGTTTGCCGCCACCGGTTGGCCAATGGTATCATGGAATTGTACTGTGATGGACGCAGTGGACCGTTTCAAGTACCTAAGAACTGTTTTGATTGACGATGGAGAAATTGATCTTTACGTGAACAGTATATAGGATTGGCATCTGCGGATTATGACAAGCTGTATAATACATGGAAGGATCTGATTCTTAGAACGGACACGAGAATCACCATTCTGAAAACAACAGTATTCGCCGTGCTCTTTTGCGGTCTCTAAACATTTGCCGTCCTGAAACGTCATGATGTTCATTTAAGTAATTTACAACAATGCTATCTGCGCATTTTCACAGTACGATGATTGCCACCGGGTGACGAAAGAGCACTTGCTGATAACCACTGATCTAAGTACAAAAAGTAAAATCATCTCGTCGAACTTGAGACCTGCTTGAGAAAAGAAATTTGACTTTTGTAACAACGATGGACCTTGCACAGTATCGATCCGCAGTTGCATGTCTAAAGGCGAGACATCATAAATCCAGATTACTCGACTCTCTAAGCTCTGTTACGCTTAGATCACAGTGGCAGAACAACAACAAATCAATCATGCTTATGGCTTGTCACTTTGAACACTAACAGATCTTTCAGCGCAAATTATGTCTTAGTTCATTTTTAGCTTTTGTGCGCTTTAATAAACAGCCTACTGTAAATGGACATTTTTTTACATTGTTGAAATTCTATGTACGTTGTTTCATTCAAGGTTATTATTTACAGGACGTACTGTCGACACAGATATTCGATCTTGCTGCCAGAGAAGTGGATATGGCGAATATATTCAGAATTGTAACGGTTTCTCTTTCCACTATACGGTACAATCACCTGTTACATGTTATTCTTATAGTTGATCAAGACCTACATGGAATATTATAAAAGCGTTTATTCAATACTGGAAGAATGTCTTCCTCGCGTAACGGATAAAATTGGTAGGCTAGTTTTTAGAGTTTATCTTGAATACTTTTCGAACCTACCGTTGTAGACAAATATCCGCGTCGCCCTGTGTACGGTTGCCATTTGGACGATCATCTCCGCTATTCAGGCCGAAGCATTGCCAAAGTTTTGGAGGTGTGCTGCGGAGTGCTCTACGAGAGCGGTATACAGCTTGAGGTAAACGCCTTGATGGTCACGTTAATCGTAACGTCGCTTATTCTGCGTTTAATATTTATGGCTGTATTTAAATTTGATCTTAACATTGCTACGTTCATCGACTAATATAGGCAGTTCTTATATAACGGATTTGAGCTACTTTTTTGGTCCAACGTTTGAAAGCATATGTGGGTTTTCGCAATATCCATAATCTCTTCCTTGATGTCCAGAAGTAGAAAATCATGAGGAATTCATCCTACAGAGGTGATCTACAATGGAACAGGGAGATGTTCTGCTTCAAGACGTTGACCAAGTTAAATATCTCGGATCCATTATCTCTAGCGATGGCATCTTCCAGTCAGAATTAAATGGACGGCTTTAGCCTCGAGTGCGTTTGGAAATCTGTTCAATATTTTGTCTGAGAATGGAGTAACTCTTTCCATAAAAATCTTCCCTTTCCATGCCTCTGTCAGGTCACTGAGGCAACTGTTCTCACTAAATATCAGAAACCACAGCACAACCGAACTGCGTACAGCAGTGTTGGCTTCGATGGGTCGTGTGACTTAAATGGCAGGTCCATTCAAAGAATGACTCTATTCTCTTTTGGGCACTTACTAATTGCGGGTATTAGAAATTTGACCTGTTACATAAATCGTTTGAGGATAAACCATTTTTTCCGACGGGCCATGAGCCTCTCGTTTGGGAGCCGAAACGCGGCAGGCGTCGACTAGGAGACAGTCATGCAACATGGAGGAATAGAGAGGTAGGGACAGATCCGTTTTTGGAAAACAATATTTCCGTCTGCAATGCAACAGCCGGTACCTGGTAGCAAAAGTGTTGAAAAGCTGCAAATACAACAAACATCGCAAAGCAGATGCGTTCTACATTTACAAAACGGCTTAAGGTGATGATCTCAAAAAATAACAGACGTCCGTCAATCATTCAAAACGTTTTCGGGTAAATTAATGGAAGTAGTACGCAAAACATGCATTGAGTAACATCTCAGCAGTCAGGTGAGCAATTGGCATCACAATATTAATATGATACGCAGCGGTAACAAACAAAGATGAAAAAATGAAGACCGAATGAAGGAATTAATTTAAATTTATAAATTAGCAGGATCTGATTAGTTCGCCAAGGTTCAGCCTTTTCCTATTTTAGTTTACGTCATTTTAAAGAGCCCTTGTTGCGCAGTGTATAGCTTTTAGGCTAACTTTTATTCAAGACCTAATCTTCGTGTCCTAAAACAGTTACGGCAGTTTACTTTTCGATACAAAAAGAGAGTTTTACTTTCAGATTGAGACTGAACTTACTCACAGATGTTCGTTTATTTTCAAACCCTGTATTCCTTTCAAACCGTCAGCAGTTGTGTCAGGAGACTTTGCAGTAGTGCCGACTCCACCGCCACACGCCTAAGCTCAATCTTGTAGATTCCAAGATACGACAATGTGAGATGCTCCATATAATCGAGCGTCGGAACAGTCGGCACCTGTGCCATCTCTTGTGCATTTGCGACATGATATGATGACCATGTACCAGCTCACTTTTTGGCATGCGTTCGATCGTTCTTGGCGATCTATTTCTCAGTGTTCCAGCATCCGTCATTCATTGAGCACCGTAGAAAATTTTAAGTTTCTCGCTTAAATGTCCATGACCAGATGCACTTAACTAACCTCTGGTTACTGTTGCATATGAGATAAAGAATAAAATAAGCTAATGCAGTGCGACAGATTATTATTTCCGCAGCCCTAACTTTACTTCAAATTTTCACACATCTATCATTTTCTTGACTGTGAACTTCAGTACGAATCCCACCTGAGTAGCTTTAATTGGTACCGGTTATTGACACATTTTCTCTGTAATTATCCTTCGTAGTCACATGAAATATCCAGATGGAGTAGGTCAGTTCGTGATTCTTTTGGCTTGTGCTTATAATAGAGAGCGAAGAGAACAGTCACTACTTAAGCAGATGCATAAAACTTATCATCAGCTGAATGACAGAATAACGCTGAAATCTTCTGGCAGTCAGTTTTATTTCTGATATTGTTTTCAGGGTTTGTTTCGTGTCCCTGGAAACGTCCTAAAAGTGAAGAAACTCAAATCAGCGTTCGATGCCGGAGAGATAGATCTCAGCGATGCCGAAGTTGACACTTACGCGTTCGCAGGTGGGCTGCATCTGTGATGGTCGCTAGACCACTTACAGACTGGATTTCTGTTTTAGGTGCTTTAACGTCTTATCTCTGCTCTCTTCCGGACTCGCTGATGTGCAACAGGCTGTACGATCAGTGGATAGAAGCTGCACAGTAATGAATTTTTGTTTGTGATTGGCTCTATAAATCTAGACGATTCCGCATTCTTAAAGCTTTTCTGCATCACATAGGGCCCTGCATTCATGCACAAATTATATGCTGAGATTTCTGTCATAAGACATCTGCATCGAAGCGCTGTCGCGCTGAGTTTAAAGGCCATCTTGGATCTCTTTCTGTAGATCTGGAAATAGAGTCACCCGATTTAAGTATGAGTTTCCTTGTTTGTAATTTTACTAGTTCTGGGTGCCATTTTGTGGAAAATGAGCATGCGACTACACGTTATAGCCAATACCGAGCTGTGCATACTATTTTCAGTGATTTTCGTTTATTTTCGCATTATGAAGATGGACGCGTGACAGTGTCTTCAACCTTCCCCATCCTTTCAGCGTCAGCGTTTCAGCGTTTCAACTTCTGCAGCAGACTGCTCGGATCTGGGACAGAATCCTTCCATATACTTGTGCCAGGTTAATCTTGACAGTGTCCCAAGGTTTTCTGGCTGCTATCTTGTGCAAATGGTAGCTGTTTCGCCTTCCTTTCTAGAGACATTCGCAACACATGCCCAAACCATCGCAGTTGTGACTTCTCAATCCGGAGAAGCAGAGGCTGAAGGCCAAGGCTCTCGCGGATGTCTATATTCCAGGCAAAATCGAGACGCGTAAGGCCATCGACTCGTCTCAGAAAGCCCATTTCAGCCACTTGTACCGGGGATGGAAGTTTCTCAGTCATTGTCCACGATTCATGGCCGTAGGTAAGCATGGGGATAAAGATCGACTTAAACACCGAGTGCCTAGTTTTCAGGCTAAGCACTGCTTTAGCCACAATGGGTCAGACTAATTCACACAGAAAGCCGCTGGCTTCACCGGTTCGTCGGTCGATCTCTTCCTCCAATTTTCCAGCACTAGTAAATGCGATTCCGAGGTACTTGAACTTCTCCACCTGCTCCACTGCCTCTTCGTTAATCTAAAAAGCGCAGCGCGCAGGAGAACGAGAAAGGACTAGGCTTTTCGTTTTAGATGCCTACGCATGCGTGCCAGTCACGTCGCACTAGGCTACGAACCTTTCTAGAGAACACGGAAGATCAGTTCTAGAAGATGCCAGCAGAGCGAGGTCATCTGCAAACAGCAACTTTTCTGTCTTTACATCTCTTGCATCGATACACTCATCACCTTTGCAGCTCCTGACTATTCTATCCATGTACAACACAAGCTGAGAGGGTACAGAAAGCAGCCTAGACAGAGAGCAGTGCCGACGCTGAAAGTTTTCGACTAAACGCCATTTACTCTTATACAGCATCTACTCTCAGCATATAGTGATTGAATAGCCCATAGCAACAGGTCATCGATCCCATATGTTCGCATGCAGGCCCACGGATTGTTGTGTGAGATCTGGTCAGAGGTTTTCTCAATTTCCGCAAAGTAGAAATACACCGGATGGGCGAACTCCAATTTGTCAGAATCTGGCATATAACTAATATCTTGTCAGAGGCACTTTGGCCACACCTGACGCCACACTGCTCTTCTTGTATCTTGCAGTCAGTTATTCCTTGGCACGTCTTTTTCTAGCACCTTTGCGTAGGCTTTTCCCGGGAGGCTCAGTCGGTTAATGTTTTGATAAATGGAGTATTTCCTGCGATATCCGTTCATGAACATTCTCACATTCAGCTTTAATGTGCATATTCTCACATGTTGAACTTGACAGTATAGAGCATGTATCCTCTGCGCTGCTGCCTTTTGTAGCTACTGGTTTATGATATGAATTTAAGCTAATTGTTTAGAATTTCTTCACCCGAAGAAAAGCGACAGGCCATAAAAAAAGTTCTCGATATGCTTCCACATTCCAACCGTGAAAACCTGCGGTATTTCATCAAATTTTTGGCCAAAGTTGCTGAAAATCAGGAGTTTACGAAAATGGGCGCGAAGAACCTTGCAATCGTGGCATCAAACTCATTGCTACGCTCTGATAATTGTGATAGGTATAAAATTTGCTTTGTTTTCAACCAGTTTTCAACATTGTGTTCTTTTGTTTCTCACTTTCCAAAAGGCCGTCGTCCTCGTCCGCTACACAGAAAAGAGAAACAACCAAAGTAACGGATCACATTCCTAAGCGAAGTGCTTTAGATGGCTTTTCCATACCTGAAATGATCACTCAGAAACCGCTTGAAAGTATAGCTACAGGGGATGTCACGTCTGATCTCCTTATGCCTTTAAACCAAATCTACCATGGAACGAGAAAATGGTTAAACTATGTGCATTAATTAGAAACTATTGTCAGTATTGATCCGCAAAGATTATAATGAAAAATCATAGGAGTTACATGTTCAAAGCACTACAATGAAAATTAAATTGTCCACCTTTTCAATAAAGCCATAAATTTGGGTCGTTCATTAGCTTGTTCCTGCTTTGCACTCACTGTCTATTAAATGTTTTACAGCTTCAGATAATTTCTTTTTAGTGTTGTCGCGAGTGGCCTTCACGGCTCCCTGATCGAATGTCTTATTTCCGAGGCTGACTACTTTTTTCCAGAAGGTATTCTGCCTACTTTGTTGCTAGAAGCTGCGTCAGCTTCACAATCTTTTCAGAAATATGCTTTTCCAGTCCAAGCGTTTGCTCGTCGGTTACCGAGGATGAGAACTTTTGTGGCATTGGCTACAGTTCGCTTGACT